ACCCATCCTAGCAAGGATATGGCAGTGTCCTCTTTATGGGAAATACCATGGTCAGTAGGCTACAGAATCATAGATTTCATAGACTGCATAGACATTAGAGCTGGAAGGCACCTTGTAGGATCATCGGGTCCAGCCCCCTGCCTGAAGGGCAGGAAGTCAGCTAAGGTCAAAGGATCCCAGCAGGATAAGCATCCAAATGTTTCTTAAAAGTGTCCAGAGCAGGTGCTTGCACCACCTCTGGGGGGAATCTATTCCAGGCCTTGGAGGCTTGGACAGTAAAAAAGTTTGTCCTTATGTGCAATCTTTAGCTTTGATTGAATAGAAAGGAGAGGGGAAGTGACACTAACAATGCAGCCAGTCTTCAGGCATGACTCTGGATATATATTTTTTCCTTCATTCTGCCTTCCCAAAATAAGGTGTGTGTGTTACTTGGGGACATGTAGTATGCAAGAAAATATGATATTTATTTTCAACAATCCCCTTTTAGAGCAGGGCTGTTATGCTCATGTTCCACATGGGTTAGTGAAGTCCAGAGAGGCAAAATAGCTTCCCCAGTGTCACACTGGAAGTCTGTCATAGAGTGTGAACTTAAACCTACATCTTCAAAGTGTGAGACTGGTGCCCTAACCACTGAACTGTCTTTCATCTCAAAACTAATGTTCCCTTAAGGGCTCATTATCCTAGTAGCAAAACATAGGCGAACATAGTTAGTTCTACTCTGTTATTGTAGGTCGGTTTCGACCTGGAAGGGTGTGGGCAGTGGGGTCCCGCAGGGCTCGGTCCTTGGACCGATACTCTTTAATGTCTTCATCAGCGACTTGGACGAGGGAGTGAAATGTACTCTGTCCAAGTTTGCAGATGACACAAAGCTATGGGGAGAAGTGGACATGCCGGAGGGCAGGGAACAGCTGCAAGCAGACCTGGACAGGTTGGACAAGTGGGCAGAAAACAACAGAATACAGTTCAACAAGGAGAAATGCAAAGTGGTGCACCTAGGGAGGAAAAGTGTCCAGCACACCTACAGCCTAGGGAATGACCTGCTGGGTGGCACGGAAGTGGAAAGAGATCTTGGAGTCCTAGTGGACTCCAAGATGAACATGAGTCGACAGTGTGACGAAGCCATCAGAAAAGCTAATGGCACTTTATCATGCATCAGCAGATGCATGATGAATAGATCCAAAGAGGTGATACTTCCCCTCTATCAGGCGCTGGTCAGACCGCAGTTGGAGTACTGCATGTAATTCTGGGCACCGCATTTCAAGAGGGATGCGGATAACCTGGAGAGGGTCCAGAGAAGGGCCACTCATATGGTTAAGGGCTTGCAGACCAAGCCCTATGAGGAGAGACTAAAGAACCTGGACCTTTTCAGCCTCCGCAAGAGAAGGTTGAGAGGCAACCTTGTAGCTGCCTATAAGTTCATCACGGGGGCACAGAAGGGAATTGGTGAGTTTTTATTCACCAAGGCGCCCCCGGGGGTTACAAGAAATACTGGCCACAAGCTAGCAGAGAGCAGATTTAGGTTGGACATTAGGAAGAACTTCTTCACGGTTAGAGTGGCCAGGGGC